ACTTGGTGGGTGGGTGCCAGCGCGCTTTTTCGTCGTGCGAAGAATAGTACAAGGCCCGCGATGAGGAGGACGAGCGCGAGGCCGCCTGCTATCAGTCCGGCGGGGGGTGGGTGTTTCGCTCACAGCGTAATCAATCAACCATACCGTCCCGTTCGTACGAGGATGTTAGGAGGATGTGATTCAGCGTCGCATAATAATCTTGCCGTGATGAGTAATCAACCACAGTCAGCTAAACGCTTATTCAGTGCATCTTCGGCTGTCCGGCTATCCTAATGGTGTTACGACCAAATGGGTGCACTATCGCCCCAGCATCCGGCGTCCAAGGTCCCCGTCCTGCCAGCATCGCGGGTGCGCCCAACGATGAGGTAAATTGAGTTTAGTGAGTAACAAAGAGGCTGCTAATTGCATAGTCAGTATCTAGCTTGAAACGAGGTGGAAATGAACACTAGTGCCTGCATGTATGTGCAACAAGCCAACTCCTATTCAACACACATAATTGTGTCTGCCCGCTCCTATGGCGACGCCACCGCCTTCGCCGTGCGGAGAGCGGAGATCACTCGTGGCCGGACGCCGAAGTTCAGTTTGCGCAGGCGTCTACACGAGATTTGCATCCTCTCGTACGAGTTTCAGCCGCGGCTTCGGCCTAGGAGTCGGATGTGTCCTCGAGTCGTTGTGTGAGCGAAGAAAGAAAGTCTGAAAGACACGGCCTACTGAACGTGTCCTGGCCTGGAGCGGTTCCTCAGGCCCAACACAAGGACAAATAGCCGGATGTTGAAAATATTCAATTGCTTACAGCCGTTTTGGAACTATAGAAGGGTTTCGTAAATTGTTGATGCTCGATTTTTGCTTACCTCTGTGTGACACTGTGTCGCCATCTTACTCCACCTGTCGTCATCAATTGCCCTTGCCTTCAATTCCTTCGTGCTCCCGATAGTGCGAAGAGGTCGAGTTAGTTGATTGCATGAGTGGTTGTGTTCATGAGGGAATGCGAGGTGAGGTGGGTCTAAAGCAACTTCATAGTACCGTTGATACAGACGATGAGCGTGAGTCATTGGTGGAGCGGCGACGCGATGTCAAACAAAATCGAGCATCAACGATTTACGAAACCCCTCTATAGTTTCCAAAACGGCTGTATGGGAGCCACAGATCTCACTTGCGGCTCTATCCAGTCCCCGAAAAGCAACAGAATCAAACGCCGTCCTTGGATGTCCACGCGATCCCCTCGTGGGGTGGTCAGTCGATTTTTAAAAAAGCCGGCGAACGGCTTCAGCACACGGACTCCTTGGGGATTACAAATAACCCACAAAATTGTTCTTTTTGTTCCTCCCACCTAAATGACTTGCTTTCTTGGCCTCAAACAAGGAAGCCGTTTTGCTTTGGATTTTTGTTTTGTGTCAAAAATATACCCATGATATGACACGAGGACTCGCGGCAAGACGAAACTCTGGCGGACGGTGATGCGAATCGAAAAGACCTTCTCCAACAGCGGGGATCAAGCGGACGTTCGGAAATCTGCAACATTAAGGAGACTAAAAATAATTAGTTCGATGTGGAAAAGATCAACGACTCACCTCTGTCGTCTTCGGTGAGAACCAGGCGCATGGATACCGGTGCAGCGGACTTGAACTCGTGGAGTTGGTTGCCACATTGGCTATAACTTATGGGGAACAGGGATCTCAGGAACGTGAGATTTGCGTCGGGGTCCACAGTCGAATGCATCGGAGAGCAGATTATCACGCGAGAAGGAAGCTTGACAGCCAGCGCAGTGTCTGCCCGGGGCCCAGATCACGTGGGAGAAAATTGGGGTTCTCGGCAGCGCATATATTGTCGGCGGGTGAGTGGAGTTGCGATGAGGCGGAGATGCGAAGGTCACAAAGCCGATGTAGAGAGCTGTTTATATGAAGAGAAGTTACAGAGGAATCAGCGTTACACTGTAGCGGTTAGAGGGATGCTGGCAGCATGGGTGCATGACTTGATAGGTGGCAAAAGGAAATAGCAAGGTGGGTGGCATGGGGGTGAAATAGGCATGGGCGAGTCCAGAGAATCAGGGCGAGATATGGAATCGACCCGAGAAGGGAGGCTTGAGGTATCTGGTTGGCATCTGAATAGGATAAATTGAGACATTCCAGGGAGATTTGTGCTGACTCCTCGACCAGTGACTGTCTATCTATGAAGGCAAGCCTGCTATCCATCATCACTGCCTAGATTTTTATCGAACTTCTGGCGCTTCCTGCGGCCCGTTCAAATCTCCGAGTTAGCTAGCCGCTCTGTAGATAGCGCGAGCCGAGCGGCAATGCTCACTCTATATAATATGCCCGGCTGACCCTTCATCCACTTCAGAAGGGCCCTAACCTTTATTACGCCAGCTCACTCACCACTTCTCGCTCCAATGTATACGTCCTCCGGGCTCGTTCACCGGGCACTTATGCCATATCATTTTGCTATCCGCAATATTAATCGCAACTTCTTGCGGAACAAACATGGTCAGTCGGTATCTATACGCGGGCGAATGCACTGACCTTTTCCCGGTACTTCAGTGTCAGCTACTTACCTTGGCTGCGGCGCTGGAGCCGCCGCCTGTGCCGTCCCTCCTCTCCGCGGGCCAGCCATCAATCATGATATCCGGATCTGGGCGGCGCCTAAGCATCGGAAGGTCTACGACGAGATTAAATCGGTCGGCTTTTTGAAGTCGATCGGCGAGATCGAGGCGGTGACCCATCCGATTCTTGTGGATGATCTGGCGGCGGCGGTGAATGCGTCGGAGCATATAGTGGTTACGGTGCCGGCCGAGGGTACCGGTGCTCTCATCGAAGACCTCGCCAAGCTGGACTTAACCGGGAAGAGCGTCACTTTTATCGAGAGCTACTACGTCTCCCCGCTTGCGCGGGAGAAGCTTAAAGGCGCGTTCGTTTTCGAAACTGTGACGCTGCCATACGCGTGTAGGATGGTTGGTCCAACGGTCAACATCGTTGGTATAAAGACGCGTCTTCAGGTTGGTGGAGATGACGCGCCCGCTAATATTCGCAATGAGATCGCATCCCTGTTCCTTCCTCGTCTGGAATGGTGCAGAGACTCGTTGCACGCGTCACTTCAGGCCATGAATGCCATCGCCCACACTGGGCCGGGCCTCATTATGGCTGGTTTGATTGGGAACGTGCCACCCGAACTGCGGTTCTATCGCGATGTTATCGGTTCGGACGCAGGCCTCAAAATCGTCGCCGCCCTGGATCAGGAAAAGCAGGCTGTCGGGCAGGCGTATGGTTACGAGTTGGAGGGCTTACTCGCGTTCGTCAATCGTCACTATGGCACAGAATACCCGGACATGCAGACCTTCACCCGTGAATCGATTACCCATAACAGGACGCCCGCTGTTCCAACTTCTCTTAACCATCGCTATCTCCATTCCGATGTAAAGCGCGGGCTCACCTTCTTGCTCGACCTTGCTTTCGTCGCCGGTATCGACGTCCCACACATCGAGTCCGTTGTGAGACTCGCTGGCACCTTCAACGGCGACGACTACGCCAAGAGTGGCAGAACCCTTCGAAGCCTTGGGTTGGACAGAGCGAAAGCTACAAAAAATGACGTCCTGCGGCTATTCGGAGCAAAGCACAGAGTGTATGGATAGTTCTCATCACCCTACATAGGCTTTATGTGACTTTGGAGTATATACGAGAATCGAAAATGAAAACATATATTGAATATATCGCCGGGCGATGGCCGCTGATGGCCTTGGGGCTAATATAGCCGGTCACTGCGCCTATGAAATCACGAGAAACGAAAACCAGAACCTGGACGGCAGAGCTTGGGACCAGGGCGAAAAGCCTAGAGAGTGTTGGTGAATCTGGGAGCCTACGCACGACCTTCCTCCCCATTGGAGTCGTGTTATGTGGCCATGTTTGTACGAAGCGTGACCAATTGCTAAATTGGGAGGACGTGTCGCCCCCCGAGGGGTAGAACACGATTTCCGAAAGAATCCCTCGATTAGCTGTGGACTCTGGAAAGTGAATGACTTCTGTACCTAAGGCATATCCACAAATTAGAATGTTGACGTGTTCTAAGGTGCACCTGAGAGAAGCTCAAATATCGTCCCTCCGCTCCGCAGGCAAAAACTTGCATGCAAAATAAGGACTTTTGAATGATTGTTTAATTTAACCGTTGCAAGGCAATTATAGAATGTAAGAGGCCCGGAAATTTCACTGGAATAGCTTCTGTAAATCAAAAGATATCAGAACAGTTGGCACGGACGAGGCTCCTCATATTTTGTACCCTTAATTAGACGGTTAAGGCTATGGAAGCGACTGCATTCATATGGAAACTGATGACATGAGTGAAATTCAAAGCTAAATTATGAATGTGTGTATAATAGACTACCAGTAAATTATTGGGTCACAAGACTGAGTGAGTCGTAGAGGAAGAGTAGGCAGTTAAGGAGTGTAGGAGTCAGATGCACGGACCTTATCATCACCATTGACTGGATAGAGGGGGCGGCCTTGAATTTGTTGGAAAGCAGTGTCTATAAATTCAGACTCGAGAGCCAATGCATAGTCAAAATCAGGCCGAGGTTCGTGAATGGGATCCATTGACGGGAGTCCAGGAAACAAAATCATCCTCACACACTGCTTGTTATGGGCAGACTGGCAGCTGCACATAGACAAGTGACTGTCTGTCTATGGAGGCAAGCCACAGTCCACAGCTGCCTCACTTGACACTCCGTGAAGACCGCTGTGAGCAGCAGATCCGGGTTCGACCCCCGGCGCCCGCATAGAAGCGGTCCCAGCACCATGTTTTTTTTTCTCTTTTTTTTTCACCGTGGTTCAAGCCAGGCAAGGACGTCCGTGCAAGATGCATTAGCCCCGGAGTAAGATGATCGAAGAGTTCAACAGGATCCCGCCCAGCTCGACTCATCATCCTCACATGTTCCAGTGTGCTCAGAGTATCGTAAAGGCCAAACCTGAACCCGAATCTGAGCAATGTAAAGGGGAGCAAACTGCAGGGAATAAGCGGGCGTGGTGTAGGGTGCGCAGCTGCCTTGGTGACTTGATGCAAAGCCGAGCAGCAGATCCGGGTTCGAACCCCGGTGCCCGCATACAGGCTTGGCATCGTGTTTTTTCACCTTTGCTCAAGTACGCCAGTGAAAGGTGCGTGAAAGGTGTATTGGCTCCAGATAAAGTGAGTAATCATTCAATCGGAGGGCGCGCGAATGAAGTCACTGAGCTTACATCCTTGCATACCCACCTCGCCGTGAGATGAAGTCAGCCTCGATATGAAATGTATCCAACCTAGAGAGCTGCGGATCCTAGGTATAAAGCGGGCGTGGTACAAGGTACACAGCTGCCCTACTTCATTGTTTAACCGAAGTTCATAAGCAGCAGATCCGAGTTCGACCCCCGGCGCCCGCCTTGAGCAATCCCGACTTCGTTTTTGTTAATTCATCCCCAAGTTGGTGATAGTTTGGACTCCAGTATTACATAAATATTTATCCGGACTACGCTGACACCCACTCACTATCTTTGCATCTATCAAGCTGCTAAGGAAGAGGACGTGCTACCGACAAACATTAATCCTGGAGCAAAAATTGCTCACCTGAGAGCTATGAATCCTAGGTATAACAGCGAGCGTGGTGTACGGTCCACAGCTGCCTCTTCGTGGAGAACACTGTGAGCAGCAGATCCGGGTTCGACCCCCGGCGCCCGCATAGTCACGGTCGGAGGATCATGTTTTTTTTTTTCACCGTAGTTCATGGACACCAATGCAAGATGCATTTCGCCCGGAGAAAAATTATCGAGAGCTGAACAGGATCACCGCCCCGCTCAACTCGTCATCCTCACGTCGCCTAGTGCGCCCAGAGTATCGCAAAGGTCCAACCTGACGCCGAATCTGCTCAATGTAGAGGGGGGGAAACAGCGGGCGTGGTCTAAGTGATACAACTGCCCATTGGATCATCCAGCAGAGAGCCTTTGCACCTATCAAGCTGCTAAGGAAGAGGCAGACAAACATTACTCCTGGAGCAAAATTGCTCACCTGAGAGCTACGAATCCTAGGTATAAAAGCGGGCGTGGTGTACGGTCCACAGCTGCCTCACTTGAAAGTGCGCGGAGAACACTGAGCAGCAGATCCAGGTTCGACCCCCGGCGCCCGCATAGAATCGGTCCGAGTATCATGTTTTTTCGCCTTGTTTCTTTCCACCTTGGTTCACGGACGCTAGTGCAAGGTGCATTTCGCCCCGGAGTAACATTATCGAGAGCTCAACAGGATCACCGCCCCGCTCAACTCGTTATCCTCACATCTTCCAGTGTGCTCAGAGTATCGCTACGGTGCAACCTGACGCTGAATCTGGTCAATGTACAGGGAAGCGAATTGTAGGGAACCAGCGGGCGTGGTGTACGGTATACAACTGCCTATTGTATCCGGCTGACCAGCAGAGAGCTTTGAGCAGTAGAGCCGGGTTCGACTCCCGGCGCCCACATTCTGTGGAATCGCTTTTTCTTTCTTTCTTTCCCTCTGGTCGCCCCAAGTACACCTCGCCCGCATGCCGCGCATGAGCACTCTTCCACGCTGAACGTGACCTTGGCTTGAACCCGGTCATACTTGAACTTCGGGTGAGGTGCGAGAGAAATAGCACAAGGTGCATACACTCCTCAGAGTCGGCCGAATTACTAATGCAAGTTCCGCCTGTTGGAGATACTTGTACCAATATCAATACTCATACCGAGACTGATATCGAGACATTCATCCGCCAGAGAACGAGCGGGAAGAATCGAGGAGAGGCTGGGGAGTGTGGGTGCGCTCGGAGCAGGACCAGCGCATCTCCTCGAGCGCTCTTCGAACACGCCTCCTACGCGCTTCCTCCCACGGCTCAAGGCGCCCGCGCATAGCCATACGCCGCCCGCGCGGACTTGCGCCGCCCTCGAGTCGAGCGACTCGGAGGCGGTGATCGAGCGCGCCTCCTGCGCACGCGGCCGTGCGGCCCAGTACGGCTCATAGGGGGGCGCAGCCTTATATGCAGGCGCCCCCACGAGCGCAAGGCCCTGCGCCGCTCCTCGAGCAGCAGGAGGCGGGCTTCGAGCGGGCGGTCGCACGCTGAGACGCGTCGGGTGCCAGCGAAGCCGGAGAGGGGTGCGCTCGGTACGCTCGGGGGCGCGGGCGGCGCCACTGCGAGAACCTGCGCCGCGGACGTGGCGACTCGGAGGAGGCGGTCCTCGAGCACGCTCGGTGCCCGGGAGAGAGGGGAGAGCGTGGACGACGCGACGCGAGGATGTGCGGATCCGTCTCACTTGGTGGGTGGGTGCCAGCGCGCGTTTTTCGTCGTGCGAAGAAGAGTACAAGGCCCGCGGTGAGGAGGAGGAGCGCGAGGCCGCCTGCTATCAGCCCGGCGGGGGGTGGGTGTTTCGCTGAGGTGGATGGGGAACTAGGGCGGTGGAATTTAGGCCGGGACGTATGAGGTGGCCGACAGATTGGAGGGGAGCGGGTGCAAGCAGGACTAGAGGTACGAGCTTCATTTGTCGAAGCGTCTGTCTACGAGAGACTAAAGTAGGACGTAGCATCGCCATCAAGCGTGACCCCAGCATAATCAATCAACCACACCGTCCCGTTCGTACGCCAGGATGTTCGGAGGGTGTGATTCAGCGTCGCGTCGAGATCCCGCTGCGCGAAGAATAGGAGAGCGCGCCTGCGTCCGTATCTTCTCACGTAAGAGCAAACTGGTTCGTCTCGTCGTGCCACGTCCCGACCTCGATGTCCACGCGGACCAGTACGCGCACGCCACGGCAGCGTCGGGCGGGTGCTCGTTCGAGTGTGTTTTGGATAGCCAAATTCATTTGGGCGGCGTAAGCGGGGCGGAGGGAAGCGATCGTGACGAGGGCGAGGAGGAGCGAGGAGAGGCGGAAGCAGGCGTCAATGATTACGTACTGTAGAGATGATGAGATCCGCCGCGATGCGGTCAACCAAAATTGATCCGTACACTTGGAGGAGGAGGAGGTATATTGGAAGGCCCGCGGGGCCGCGAGGGTCCACAGCCAAAGAGACAGATGAAGAAGCTTGAAGCGGGGTGACCAAAAAGAAATCTCGACCAATGGTTGCGGGTGCCGGGAGTCGAACCCGGTTCTTTTGCTGGAAGTGATCATGAGAATATCTCTAATTGAGGCAAATGTGCGCCGTACACCACGCCCGCTTACTCACTACGCTTTAACCTTCGCTGTGTCGACAGATTTGCTTCATTGGATTGTCATGGACTCATGGTGGCTTCTTTCCGCGGATTCTTTCTCAATACGAACCACATGATTGGGATACGATAACGTACCACTTAAATGCTCAACTACACTCCGGTGCCTCCGTTCGTCCAAGTCACCCCGCCCTCGAATCAGGGTAGGGGTGGGGGGAAAATGTGTGTAGGCGGGCGCTGGGAGTCGAACCCAGGTCTGTTGCTGGCAACGAGAAAGGGCTGGAGCATATCATGAAGCAGAGGCATCTTTCGCCGAGGTGTAACGAACTAAGTAACTGTGTACCGTATACCAAGCCCGCTGTCTCCCGGCGATCTAACCACAGTATGCTGAGTAGATTGTGACGTGTCTCTCAGCTCTTGACAACTTTAAATTAGTTCCGGAGTCCGTGAAATTGTTGGATCAAAGACCCTAAAGGAGCTGGGTGTGTGTGTATCGGTGTATCGACATCCCCGTGAGATCGCCGCACCCCACTTCAGCGTGAGGCCGAAGCAAAAAAAAAAAAAATCAATGGGATGCGGGCGCCGGGAGTCGAACCCGGGTCTGTTGCCGGAATTAGTGAGGAGTCGATTAATTGAAGCAACTGTGCACCGTGCACCACACCCGCTTCCTCCCTGTGCTGTACCCTCCTCGATGCTGAGCAGGTTGGCCATCTATCTCAGCGCTGAGTCAACCATTTGCAGCATTCGCTGGCTCAATTTCGACGCACCCGAAAAGTCGGAGGACCCGGAATGCGATGCGCAGTGAAATCTACGGCGCATCTCCCTGCGCGTGCTCGCGGCACCACACAGGGGCCCAAAGCAACAAAAGAAGAAAAAAACTCAAGAACTTGCTACGCGGGCGCCGGGAGTCGAACCCGGTTCTGCTGCTCAAATCTATCTGAAAACGGCCATAAGTGACGCAACCGTGTACCGTACACTACGCCTGCTCGATGTCAGGACCTAGGCCCCGTAAAGCAACGTTGGATATATGCGAGGATGGTGAGATAAAATGGGACAATGCCGTGAAACGCTCCATGCAGGAGCGGGAGCGTGAGTGCGTCCGCAGCGACGGATGCAGGGAGCGAGAGCGACACGGGACGAACAGGGACAAATTTAATCGTATGGGAGACCTACTAATAGTCTTACAGTACAAAAGTATAGGGCTGTTCGCCGTACCGTATACTGTATACGGCCGTATACTGCTTCGTCCGTTGTCTCCTATAGGGCTCTGTTTTTTATTCTGGTTTATAAACAGGTGTTTATAAACCGGTTATATATGGTCAGGCCAGAACACCCTATTTTTAATTAAATGTGGCTGTGTTCGGCAAGGTGAATAGTGCCTGAAGTCCTCAGCCTTTGGGTTTCCTCTGACCTAAGTCTGGCAGTTGAAACCAATTATTCGGTCAGTTTGGCCTCGAATCTGCCTGGAATGGACCGGATGGTACCCATTTACCCAAGGATAGGCATTACTTGTTCGATTAAGGGGCATACTCGTGGTTGAATCCATAAATGACGGATTCCGTGTGCTGGCCCAGGTCCTCCGAGGGCAAGAGCACGAAAAATCACCCAAAACCGCGCTGTTCAGGTGTTTCTCATGAATTTTGCGGGACTGTTTATAAACACGTTTATAAACACCCTGTTTATAAACGAGGAATTAAAAACTGTTTATAATTGGCTGGGGAATTATAAACAGAGCCCTAGTCTCCTAGGGGCTTCAACTAAACCAAATCCAGCATTCCTCGTACATCCGTTGAGTTGTAGGTAAAGTCCAGCTCCATGGCCCCTTTTTGACAGGTTTTTAAGGATACAGTAATCCTTGCCATTTGGCCGGAATGAGACCGTAAAGTCGTATATGGCCGTAATACGGCGGTACCGTACCGTACAGC